ACCAGCTCCAGAACAACGTGATCTGTACGAAACGCTAGGCGTTGAACCGTCTGCAACGGGTAAGGAAATCAAAGCGGCCTACTACAGACTCTCGAAGTTGTATCATCCGGACCGACACGATGGGGAAGAACAGAAACGGTTCGCTGCCGAGAAATTCTTGCAGGTTTCGAACTTTTACTCCTAGACATCCTTTGTTGTTTTGTGCTGCAAGAGGAACAAATTACAGGTGTGAATATAGGATGAAGACGGCCAGTCTCTTTCTTCTTACTCCATTTGTCTTCCGCTCTCATGTGTGGTATGCAAATGTCCCGTCTTGAGACTCGAGTCCCCCTCTGTTCCGGATTTGATTTTCATTCTGGAAGGAGGACTGTGTCGTTTTCTTCAGGGAAAAGAGAAAGGAGAGCAATTTTTTGATTAATAGTGATAATTCATCTCTGTTTGAAAACTGCTTTGTACTTTTTTTCTGCGGAAAAGATATGGTAAGCCGAATGCAGCATTCAGGGATGACCCTGGAAAAAAAAGAAGGAAAAACATGATAAAATTTGGAAAAAACGAGAAGTGTAACAGGAGAAGGCCAAAGCAAGATAAGGGGTTCCGGCCATTAAGTCGTATACGCTTTAACTCGGCCACTGCGACTGGACCTCGTCAGTATGACGGCCGCTGTTTTTTCTAATGAGAAAAGGAAGGTGGAAATGAAAGAAAGGGAAGGGAGAGGTTGCATCTTTCTCATAATGAACAGAACCTGCAGTGCTGCATTCAAAAAGTGAAGCAACCTCTCCACTCATTTCATGGCTTGTTCCGTCACTGCTAACTTCTCCCTTAGCGAGTATAGTATTCCATGTTTCACTTCCACACGGCAAAACTAATAAAACAATGAAACCAGGTGCTTCATTGAATTAAAACGTTCTGTTTCAACCCAAGGCATCTGTTATGTTTGCTTCTGAGATTTGACATTACTTATGTTTCAGGCAACAGAAGCGTATGAAGTTTTGTCGTCTGATAAAAAACGAAAAGAATATGATGAAAAATGTCAGGAAAGCTGCGTGCAGACACCATCGGGAAGTTGGCCAACACAACCGAACGGGGCAAGAACAAAGAAAAATTTCGAGGATTTAGGACTGGATTATAAAACATTTGAGGAATTTCAGCGTAGCGTTAATACAAGGTAAAGAAAATCATGGTAAAGTCGTACGTATTTTCACAATTATCAATTCATCGTAATTCTATGCTGTTTTTATGCGTTTTTGCCGTGAAGCGCTAGAGCGCTGCAACAGGCAGTAAAAACTCATATTGCAACGACCCTGTCTCTGTGTATGCTCATATATGTATGTGTGTGCGTATTCGTCTGTCCGGATATTTTTACTCGCCAACCACGCAGGCTTTGATGCTGGAATTTTGCTAGTGCATCCCTGATCAAGTACTACTGCAGGAACGTGGTATCAACTTCCACGTGTGTCCACGTCTCATATACGGACATGTGAAAGTTTTGGCGGTTGACTTGGGAGCGAGAAAAGTGAGAATGCTGGAGCTTACGTACGACTAAAATATTTCATGTTCAGTTCGCTAGAACGGTCTGTGGCTCACGTACGGATGCGTGGAAATTTTTGCGGAAAAATTGCTAACTCGGGAATGAGAAAAGCTGGGAGGCTGGAATTTTATGGGAATGTTCCCTACTCATGTGCAACTAAAAGATTTGAAATTTAACATACGCCCCCAGCAACCTTCCATTTTTCGGGTCGCTGAAGCAGACAACGTACCACGTAGCTGCACAGTTAACTTTCTGAACTTCGAGGATTAGTATGTCACAAATTCTAGCTGGGATTCCTTGTGAATTTGCTACAGCGCAAAATAGTGCAAAAACGCATGGCCGCTCCGGCTTGCCGGGCGCGTTCCAACCTAGGTTTTCTTATTTTTTGCTTGAGTTCAGTCTTTTAGCACTGACAATGTGTAATCTTCCCGTGGATATCGTGGCTAACGCTGCCTCCTTCCCTTTCCCTCCCTTCCTTCTCCCTTGCTGTCTAGTAATCTGATTATTATTCAGGCGTTCATCCTGCTTTATTTTTTCATCTTTCTGAGCAAAAATGGTGCACATATCCAAGTCTATTTGTCATATTTAGGTGCCATACATTTGGGTGTTCAAAAGTTAAAAAAAATGTATAACCTACTCCTCACTTACTTTATAAGAGTAGCGAGGGCACTCGGAAATAATCCGTGTTAGCACGAGGTACCAGTAGAAATTTCTTTCTGGCAGGGTTGACAAGAACCCCTCTTTTGAGAGTTACTTAAAAGCAATATGATGGCGGATTTGACTTCCTGGTGTATGTTAGTGTCAGTTTACCATCGAAACGAATAAACGAATCAATGAGAGACTCACTATCCTATTGGCGCGGTCAAACTGTCGATCTTCAGCTGCTAGAGCGGCTTACTTGAATAAAATGTCTTTTATTTTAGAAAACAACGAAGCAGACATGACCACTGGCAGATGCCGGATGAATTTTTTGAGCATTTTGGCACTCGACAATTCACCAGTACTTTCCGTCCGCAAGCAACATCTTATTTTACGTACAGTTACAAGGTTGCTTGAACAATTTCGCGAAGTTTTTCCCTCATTTTTCTTGGCAGCAGCGAAATGTGGTAAATTTAGAAGCATTCCTGTTACAGTCTATGAACCCTTAGTTATTTTCCGTTACCGTATATCAAGTGAACTGTTGTTTTGAGGATACGATGCAGCGGCAGCGTGAATTGAAAGAATGGCAGATTTTGAAGGAGATTGAGGAAGAGAAACGGAAGACGAGGTACAAAATTCCAACGTTCCTGGCAATGGAAATGCAAAGGAAGCAACGAATGCTCAATGAAAAGAGAACTGTCAACGCTTTTATACTCCTTTTTGGCATTCTAATGACTCTTTCATATGTCCGCCGATTAGTATAATCCATTCC